GTGGAGGGATCTCTTCCAATGCACTTGTTGAAAATCGCGGCCTGGAATGGATATGATTTCTACTTTTTTTTGGTTTCTTTCCAAGCTATTGCAAGGTCTCACCATTGCTCTCGCAGCACTATCGAGATCAGGGCAAAAGCTAGCGATATTATAAGTCCTTTGGTCACATCAGTAAGTATAGTGCTCAAACAGGCGACAAGCCATATCACCTGCAACAAAATTCGTGCACATCCAATGTAAACCCTATAATGCTATAAAAACATACGAAATCATATTTACTGGTTCTCCAATACCGTGGCAACTCTTTCACTTGAAGAAACAGGCTCTTGAGGCTGACAATAACAATGCAGGCAAGAATGCACTACAATGAAGCGATATTATTTAAAGGACGTATAGCAATATATTCAACTTACCATTGGCAGAGGTTCTAAGAATGGGCCCAACACGAGTATGACAGTAAGAAGTAGGGTAGATGAAAATATAGTATAAAGCTGAAATAAGCGTTTACATAATCATAAACTTACGGCAATTTAACTAAGTGAAAAAAACCAATTTTGAACTTTCTTTCAATTAAGACCTCTAGGTTATGGGTTATAATTTAGGCATTTTTCTCGTTTAAATTTTGTTTTTGTTTATTGCGGCTAAACACAAGTGCCATATTTTCGATCCGTCAGCGTTAATTTGTAAACAGTTGCATTTGTTTATTTGAATGAACTTGCTCACCTGAGTATTCGCTCCGGACATTTCGCATACAGAAGATCTGGACAAGGAAGCACCGACAGGATAAACGGGGAAGAATGAGGAGACAACTGACATGATTCCTACAGCATAAAATTCCTGCAAATAGATTGTAGAGATGGTAAATGGAAAAAAGAGGGACTTAAAGTATCAAATTGCGAATGCGAGACTGCGAGCAAAAACACAGGGCACACAAAAAGTGGAAACGGATGAACTGAAGAATTTCCTAAAGAGTGAAAGCGCTTCGTCCATAAATGTATCCATATGTCCATAAATGCTAG